GGACCTAAAACTTACATCTAAACTTACCATCTGAAAATTCCTTCTTTAACTTTCCTTCATTTAGTTTTGATTCAGTGGGCGTTTATCCAAAGCTGACAACATGCCAAAGGCAGTTCTGGATGACTGGGAGTCAGCAGAAGAGACAACGGCCCCAGTCTTAAGAAGCCTGCATTCTAGCGGGGGGACATGAACAACTGAGGAGGAATCTAGTAAAGGTGCATGGCAGAGAACGCTACAAGGTTACGCAGGGTACGGCAGGGCAGGCGCGGGGTCAGGAGGTCTTGGTCTGGGCCTTATGGGTCGGTTACAATGGCGCACAGGCTGCTCAGGACAAATCCCACTGAGAAGAGACTTAAGCAGAGATGTGATTAAGCAGTGAGTCAGTAAATGAGCAGGTGCGGCAGGGCCTTCCAGCCAAGGGATGAGCTAGAGAAAAAGTGCAAGGCGAGGGGCCAGCGGCTGGGCCCGTGGGGGCCCACGCTCAGTATAGGTAGATGAGGGCGGGAGAATAGCTGATGGTGGAATTACGTCGAATCTGCAGCCATCATGAGGACCTGGCTATCACGCTGCGTGAGCTGGGGAGCAAGGTCATTACTGGGCTTTGGGGAAAGGTGTGACGTGAGCTGATGCTTTAAAATATTCGCAGGAGATGCCGCAATGAGAAAAACTAGAGAGGAGGGTGGCTGCAGTAGGCCATGTGGGGGCTGAATCAGCAGGAAAGCCGCTAGAATGTCCACTGGGCCCCAAAGGCCAGCCCTGGTGGTGACAGGAAGCGTCTCCAGGTCGTGGGCAGCAGGGGTAAAAAAAGCCTTCATAGTTAATCCAATACGGAAACTCAAACCAATACAATCACTGGAACAATCAGCATGAGAACATGTCCAATCTCATTTATGCGCCTGCTGTGCTGAATTGTCAGTGTGTGTGTGTGTGTGTGTGTGTATGTGTGTGTGTGTGTTTTATGAGATGTCTTGGCCACAGAAGAGTGACAGTGTCATCAGAGTATCAAGATACTTTCTACACCCTTGCTCATCCTGGCCATGGAATGACAACCGTGTTGGCTGCCAAATGTGCAGCTGGTTAATTTGTAGTCCTTTATCTGCCTCCATTTGGTCAGAACCAAGTAACCTTGTGGTCTGGCCTCACCTGTGGACTCACTGGAGCTGAAGAACCCCCCTAACATCCAGCTGTGTCTCCCACATAATTCTAGCCAACGTGGTCCATCACATAGCCCTCAGTTGCTGGACCGGTCTGCCCGCTGTGGTCAGGAACAACTCCGTCTGTCAAGCTCCCCACCAGCTGCTCAGCCAGCAGCCTCGTTACCCCATCAGTCTTGGCCGTGCGTGCTGCTTCTGG